AAAGACGCCGCCGAGGACCTGCGCCCGAGCCGGCCTGCAGACCCGGGAGGGGTTGGCGGGGGTCGGGTGCTGGGTGCCAGGGAGCCCGGGGCTCGAGCCTCCCGCCGCGCCGAGCTGGGAGCGCGCCGCAGGGCTAGCACAGAGGCCTCCTCGCCCTCCGCCTCCCCGGGCGGCGGGGACGTGCCTCCGCCTCTCCCCGCCCCACCCCGCGGCGGGCGCCGGCACATTCCTGGTCTTGCCCCAATGTACGTGCGAGAAAAATCAACGAGGCGAGGTTTGAGCAATCGGATAGCCACCACGCCCGGAAAAAAAAGGGGTGGGGGGGTGGACCGGCTTTGCTTTACTTGCAAAGCGACTGTCGAATCGTAGGCAAAGCCTTAAGACATCTATGTCGCCAAAGGTCGAAGTGGCTGGGGACATCAGAGTGCAAACCTCTCTGGGCACGAATCAGAGACGTTTTCCTAGTTTCACATTTGGCGTATTGCATCCCCAGGAAAGCCAGCGCTCCTCCCGTCCTGCTAAGTCCACACACTCTCCCTCTTTCTTTGTGGCCGAGAAGCAACCTCAATGGCGAACTCAACTTTAGAAACCTCATATAACCCAGCAGAGTTACACATGAATGGGCTTATTATAAGGCTGGGGGAGAAGAGAAGGGGAGGAGATTGTACACAGAAGACGGCGTGTGTAGGTGTGCACAATGGTACGTTTCTGTTGTACAAAAAAACACGTTTCTGTTCCCACAGCAGAAGGCGCCCACAGAGATGTGCAAATACCAGTAGCCGCTTTCGTGACCATTAAAAAAATCAAATAAGAACCAGCTTTGGTCAAGGTTACTATTGGCAGCTGCCAGAGGAAGTTCTCAGAGATACAGGGGTAGCTAAGTCAGTTCCTCGGAAAACTTTCTTGGAGGAGGAAATTCTCTTTGGGATTCCAGATGAGCCCTGTAGCGGGCACAGAGGCTGGGCCCCCAGGGCTTTTCTGCTGGCTTTTCTGACTCTGTAGCACTAGGAGGGGGGCAGGGTTATGATCCCTGTGTTCCTCCATTTGGGGCTTTCCAGCTTGAGTCCTGGTGGGGATTTTCCCAGTGTTGAAGCCTAGGGCCTATTGCCCAGATAGATGGCTTGGAAAAGCAGTGAGAGGCGTCTAGTGAGAGGTCATGCTGATAGGGAGAGAGGGTTAGCCTGCTGTTAACCAAAATACTAGAAAGAGAGCATCATTTAGCTTGTTAAAAATCCAAATGTAACAGTCTCCTCCCTTGCAGGAAAAAAGGCCCTTTAAAGCTTAATCCGTAGGGATGTTCTAATGGTGGCAAGCCAGATCATTTAGATAAACAGTGGGGCCTGGGACAGTCCTCTGACAACCCCTGGAGAAATGTAGATATCAACTGGTGGTCTGATAAGCCATTGGAGAATATAGATGGTGTCCGGTGAAGCCTGCTTCTTTTTGTCACTTCCTTGGGGGAGGGGGGGCCTCTGATTATTGTAAAACCTACTAATTATTTCCTGAACCTGTTGTTGCTGTTGTTGTTGGAAGGTGGGGTAGGGATTGCCACGTAGTGTAAGATAAATACCTCTCTTGATTTTCACTGAGTCTTGGAACAGTTTGGAGGTAACAAACCCCACGGTTTCCTTCTGTCTGGCATGTGCAGAAATAAACCTAAGAGTTTCTGGAATCAACCTGGTCTCTGTCTCTGTCTGAAACACTGACAAGCGATCCGAGACCCTTGATTCTGGGAAACACTGTGAGCTGGCTGAAGGGAGCCTGGGCCCCTGTCCTACTCAGACGGGCTCAAGGCTGATTGGCTGCTCCAGGAAGGAGGCCAGCTAGTCACTCTGGAAGGTGGGTTTCTCCCCAAGCCCTTCTGAGACGAACCCAACACACCAAACCCGTTGCCCGGGAATGGATTCCAACTTCTGACGCACGGTGACCCATTTGTTACATAGCAGAACTAAACCCCCGGCAGGTGGCACAATGGTTAAGTGTACTAACTGAGAGGTGAGTGATTCCAGCCCACCAGCAGCTCTGTGGGAGGAAAGACCTGGGAGTCCACACCCTTAAAGAGTTCAGCCTGGGGACCCCGTGGGGCAGTTCCACTCTGTGGCAAAGAGTCACTGTGCATCAGAAACCCACTCAACAGCAAGAGGTTCCACTAGCAAGCAACCAGATCTCTCTGCAGGCTATTAGAACTGCTGGGCTTTCTGTCAGCAGTCAAGTGCCTAACCACTGTACCACTAAGGCTCACTCCATAGAGATGACAGTTCATGAGAACCACTTGTACTAAGCCTGCATGGAAGAACCACACCAGCCCGTGTGATCACGAGGTGTCAATAGGATCAGGTATCAGGCATCAAAGAACAAAAAAATCATATCATTGTGAATGAGGGGGACTGCGGACTGGAGACCCAAAGCCCATCTGTAGGCAACTGGACATCCCCTTACAGAAGGGTCACGGTGAGGAATGAGCCAGTCAGGGTGCAGTATAACAAGGATGAAACATACAACTTTCCTCTAGTTCTTTAATGTACCCCCATCTCCACTATCATGATCTACCTTATAAATCCAGCTAGACCAGATGATGTACACTGGTACAGATAGGAACTGGAAACACAGGGAATCCTCAGGACCAATAATGAGAATAGGGATACCATGAGAGGAAGGGGAAGGTGAGGGGGAAGGGGAAAGCGATCACAATGATCTATATATAACCCCCTCCCAGGGGGATGGACAACAGAAAAGTAGGTAAAAGGAGACATCAGACAGTGTAAGACATGAAAAAATAATAATTGATAAATTATCAAGGGTGAGGGAGGGAGGGGGAAAATGAAGAGCTGATACCAAGGGCTCAAGTAGAAAGCAAATGTTTTAAGAATGATGATGGCAACAAATGTACAAATGTGCTTGACACAATGGATGGATGGATGGATTGTGATGAGTTGTACGAACCGCAAACAGAATGATTTTTTTAAAAAGTCTATCACAGACAAAGGACAAAATGTCCATGATGGACCCCTAGAGATGGGTAACCATTGGACACGTCACCTCCACCCTATCTTCCCCCCCACAGGGGTGGGGATGTCATTCTTATTTGCAGCTGAGTTGTCTGTGATTCATGGTGACCTCCTGTCTGACAGAACACTGGTTGTCCTGTCCTGTGCCACCCCAGGCTCCATCATGGAGAGCAGTCATTGACTACGCCACCAGGGCTCCCAGTCAGCTAGCCCTTGGGTGGTACAAAGAGGTAGGCAGTGGAAAAAAGGCCTGATCTACTTCTGAAAAATCAGCCATTGACAGTCCTGGGGAGCCCAGTTCTATTCTGTCACACATGTGCTTGTCTGAAGGCACAATCAACAGTGGCAATCGGCAAAGAGAGAGGCAGAGCTAGATCCTGGGTTTGTGTGCATGTGGGTGTTCACGAACAGGAGGCAAATGCTTTCATTCTCATCAAAAACAGTAAGTCATTTTTTGTGAGTTGAGTCATGTACAATGCACCAGGGTGAGTTTGCCTCTGGAAGCAATCGTTCCCAGCTGGAACAGGATCCTAGGGAAGGCCAGCTTGGCAATAGTCTTTCTCTGTAGCTTTGTGTTTGTTTTTAAACCGGGATGTGTTTTACTGTCAGGTGAGTGTTGGATTGCTAACCACAAGATCAGTGACTCGAACCCACCAGCTGCTCCGAGGGTGAAAGATGAGGCTGTCCACTCCCGTAAAGATCGATACCCTGGGAAACCCTCTAACACAGTGGTTCTCAACCTACCGAATGCCGCGACCCTTTCATACAGTTCCTCATGTAGTGGTGACGCCCCCAAGCATAAAATGATTTCCGTTGCTACTTCATCACTGTCATTTTGCTCCTGTTAAGAATCCGGCGACCCCTGTGAAAGGGTCGTTCGACCCCCACAGGGGTCGCGACCCACATGTAGAGAACCTCTGTTCTATAAGGTTGCTGACTTGGAATCGACTTGATGGCAGTGTGTTTGGTTGCTTTGCAACTTGCTCAATGTGTGGCAGAGTTTCTTTGTTGCCTTTTTTTTTTTAAAGAATTATATATGACCTTTGCCTAAGCATCTGATCTTTATGCCAGATGGTCTTCAGACAAAATGACTTGATGGGGGCGGCCCAGGGCTTTCTTTCATGCACTCACACAAGAATAAAATACAAATGTTTCTTCTTGTGGTTACAAATTTCCTTACACCTTAAAGACTAGTTGTCACAGTAATTACGCAACACCTAGTTATCTGGCCCAGGAATGTGACCATAGCCCTCGGGTCCACAGATCTGAACATCAAATTCTTCTCCTGAGCAGTAACTGCCAGTGATAAGGTGCCTCTCTTTGCGTCCTCTCCAGGACTTGCTGAACAGCACAAGGACAAAACACAAGTAATATTGAACCTGGTTTCGGTTGGAAAGGGAGAATTCGTCTGTATTTTGGAATCCCACCAGTAACTCACGGCATTTCCAGTTTTCTAAATGCAGTTCATCACTTCATTGTTCCTTATAAAAGATCAAACTCACTGCCATCGAATCAATGCTGACTCAGTGACTGACCGCCCTGTGGGTTTCTGAGAGACCCTAACTGTTTACCGGAATGGAAAGCCCCACATTTCTGATGGTTTTGAAGTGCCAACCATGCGGGTCGCAGTCCAACATGTAACCACTACACCACCATGGCTCCTCTCATTGTCCTTGAGAGTGTGATAATAATGATATTGATAGAGCCTACCAATGTAATTTTTCTCCTGGCCACGCTTTCATTTTCTTTATTTTTCCTTCCCCTCTCCTAATTCTGAGCCTCTTGTTGACTCCCGTGCTACCAATTGGAATCATAGTTTAGAAATTATCTTATCCATGACTTGCATTAATAACCACAGCAACAGTGATCAGAACCACAACTCTAAAACTGTGCCTAGGCGATTAACAAAAAGTCTTGCCTGGCCTTTCAGACACGACAGAAAGTTTTGTATTTTTTTAAATCTATAATTTTGTATTTCATCCCTTTGTACAAAGATCAAGCATCCCTGGCCTCTGGTGCAAGCCCAGCTTGTGGAATTCTGGGTCCTTCTGTCAAACAAACCGCACCTGCTGAAAGTGAAGAGGACTTGAGGCAACGGCTGATGAAGATCCAAAATGACAACCTTGTGGATGGATTAGCAGACATACAACATCCAAAACAAAACAACAACTTCACAGCTGGTCCCCTAAGCAACAACGGGATACAGAGAGAAAACACTG